AAACACCCGGTATACATGTATAAATATGCATGACTGTCCAGTTTGTCAGCATCATGTCTGAACTACAATACGAAGAGACGTGAAAATTTGCACACTTAGAAACTGAAATCCCAAGAAGGTTATATGAATGGGTTTATCCGCGAAAATGTACAGGGTGTTCCGAAAGTACGGATAGATCAAAATATCTCTGAAAATACGTACGTGCGCTGGAGAAAAATGTTATGGAACAAAGTTGTAAGGTTTGAAAATATTCATCAATGGGTGATCTTGAACGTGCTCTTAACTGTGACCTCCAATGTCATTTGAAGGTCAATTCAGATTCCTTGAATGAAACCCTACTATTGACGCCAGAAATCTAAAGAGCGGGAAATTTTACGTTAAAGTACGACTTTGGCCAGTACCTTGACTATATAATATTCATAACTATTTGAGGGTATTCAGAAAGTGGAGAAAGTACAAAATATATGGAAAAATACGTTTTATAAGAAAGTGTTGTGTAGCAGAGTTTTAAGGTTTTAATAGAATCATTTGATGATGACCTTGAACATGATGTTGACCATAGTCTTCAATCTTATTTGGAGACAGTTTTCTTAGACGGAAATCCCTATTATTGACACCGGCAATATAAAGAGCAGGGAACTTTATGTTAAAGTATGCCCATTACCTTGAATATGCCCATCAAAGTCAGTTGAAGTTCAACTTAATTTTTGAGGGGAATATTATTAATTCCTGAAATGCAAATTACGGATAATTTTAAATTCAAGTATATCCTTGACAATGAACCTGAGCATGACCCTTGTCGAGGGTATAAAAAATCAAAAATCGAAATTAATCCATTGTTAATCGCCAAAGTAGCTATTGCATTGATTTAAATATTCCATTTCTTTTCACGTTACACTTTATTGCGAAACGAATGATCTATACTTCACACTGCTCTCACGCGACCAAAACTGCAGGTTTAGTCTAGTTTACTGTAAAAGCAACAGTTAAAGCCCTAGTTAAAACTGACCTTACCTTTATGTCAGTCATACAAGAGAACAAGATTAAACGTGCATACATTGCATGTAACCTACCGTATAACCTTTGTGACATTTAGATAATTCGCTGGCCAAACAAACGCGTAATTCGGAGCTTCTGTTGTGTTCGTTTGCACACTCCCTAATTGAACGTACACAAACAAACTGTCGGTTTACTGCATGAGTAAACTTGAACGATATCACGTCATTAAACTGTACAGGGTGTTACTTTATAATATACCATAATTATAATTGCGCATTCCTCAACCAAATTTGTATGAATTACAAAAATTTTATTTGCTTTTTTATTGTAGGCATATTTTGTTTTACATAATTTTGAAGATCAAATCAGATAGATGACTTTCCCCATTCTCCATACATCCTAAACCAGTTTCTGGCATTTGTCATGACTGTTTCCAGCAAGGTAGGCGTTATGTTGAAAATTTTCTCCTGTATGTTGGTCTTCAAATCTTGAGGGGCTCTTGGTCTTGGTCCCCCTTAGAAAAACATTACAAGAGGTCAAATCCGGAGAGCGGGCCGGCCACTCCAAATCGCCCTTAATTGAGTCGAGGCGCTCTGAGAAATGTTCCCTTAAAATAGCCATCGATGCTCTAGAAGTGTGTTCCGTTACACCCTCTTGCTGGAACCAAATGCCCCCTAAGTCCAACTCATCTAGCCGTGGAAATTGTACACCACCCTGTGACTTTAGTTGAATGCAAAGGTCTTTGATGCAATTCTCGAGGATTGGTGTCGGCCTAGTAGCAGATGTTTTATTTGCTGAAGGATCCATACAGATTAAATGGGATTCATACCTAAAAAAATAGCATCCTTAGCAACGACTTCGAGAAGACCCTCACACGCGTTTATCCGAGAACTGAAGTCACGCACTTCCTGAAGATTGTCATGAAAAATTATCCTCACAGAACGATCGGAAATCCCAAAGGCAGATGTTTGTTAGAACGCAGAACGCGGTAGTGGTCGCAACATTGAAGCTCTCACTGCCTCTTGCAGTTTGTCTGAACGTGGTGACCCATGTAACAATTGGTTTCCGGTCCGGGACAGGTGCCAACGGTGCTAAGTTAAATGTAGGCCTCAATGGCAAAAACACTCAAATAGATTCATCTATTTCGGGCTTTTGCGCCCTTAGTAACACAACTTGATTTCAGGATGATTAACTTTATCCTGTCTGAAAATGTATCAATATTGATAGGTACTGCAAGATATCTCGGTCATTCCTCTACCTAGCGCAGCATTTCTGGTGTATTGTATTAGTTGCAATACCTCACAAGTTTCTAATAACAATATATTATACAGAATGGTCTTACCATACTACAACACGCTCATCACTATTTCGGGATAAAACTTTATAACTCCGCCTCTTGAATGCTCTGCTTTGTCGTTAAACGACTGAGTGGCACGCATCTTTCAAAAGGCAGTTATGCTGCCACACCCTCTATAAGCATAGCAAAATACAGGATGTCAAAGTTTTATAAAAATTTCTATTTTTATTAACATCTCAAATATCCCCTTAGAGATATGCGGACAGTCTATAACTCATTTCTTCATTTATGGCATGTATAATAAGTTGTCGCTTACTTACCCCGCGCGCATGCGCCGCTAAAACAATTCAAAGTAACGGAGTTACAAGCCAACCTCCACAGCAGCTGCAAGTGAGGTATATATCCGCTAACCCTGAAGCGCATCCCCGTTTGTTCTACCGCGCTTTTTGCACCCCGCTGAATCGACAGGAGCATTCCTAAATCACCGTTACACCGCTACGCCAGTAAATTTCCCCTTCCTTTAGAAACCTTAAAGAATAATCTTGTAAAAGCAGTTTCTCATCTGTTTACGTCACCACATATTCCCATCACCATTAAGCTGCTACAACAACGTACGTCTCGGTGTTGTATACGTACACTCCTTTAGTTTGACGCAAATTTCCGAACATGATAATCGATGTTAAAAAAGCGCTATCGTATAAATGGAACAAACTGAAAACTGAAGCTTTCAGTAGAAAACCGACGTGAGGTTGTACAGAGGCGCTCTAAGAATTTGCGAGGTACAAACTTTAATCTTGATAGATAGACTTACAACAGAACTTCCGCATATGCGTAATTAGCCCTATTTTAGTCAGATTGGTTCTAAAACTAGAACTAATGCCTACTTTAATTGGGTTTGTTTGTTATCTAACGTATTTCACCTGTAGATATCCAATTAAGATAGACATTAAAGAGGCCAAGAAGGGATTGAAGATCGTAGGGTCATCTATGAAAAAATAGCGGAACTTAATACTCTGTCTTCAAAGCAGATTTCTAAGTTTAATTTGTGCCCCACTACTATCCCATAGAGGGCGTTAGTATCTTTCAGATCCCTTTATGGACATCAGAACACAGTATATGGTTAGTTGGTGCTATAGCTTTGAAAGCTTATCCTTTCTTCAAATTCGAATATAGGAGACTAGTTATAAACAATGACATCTTCCTGGTTTAGAAACTCCATCTCAAGAGTATTATCTATCAAACTTTCTCAGTTTATTGTAATGTATATTACCCCGGTGTCGTTTAATAGGCTGTTTCTGAACAGATTCTGTTCTCCAAAGTTTCTTCAAGGTCCCATAAATGTACACAACCATATAAGTAGGAGGGCTGCGTTTTTAGAGCATGTGTGGTGGAGAGAGCTGGAATTCAGCGTGACAAACCGACCTCTGTCGGTGCGCTGCAGAGAACAAACGGCTTCCTCTCTGGCGAGAAATCTAGAGATTATTACTGCTTGGGGACGCAACAACCTGTTACAGTTCAATTCTTTAACACAGTACTGACTTTTACCAACAAAAAGCGCCTTAGCGCTCATCTGGTTCCGATGGACCGCCGAGTTCTACCAAAGAACCGTTCATTTCGGTTGGTCGGAGTTTAGGCTATTTGTTTCGGGCTAAAAAGTACTTTTCTCCAGAACTGGTAGCTACGACTGCACCTCTGGCCCTATTGTGTCGAGATTGTAGAACAATCTATCTGAGAAGGGATTTCTCAGTTTTGCTACCTTTGGGCAGATAATAAATCGGATTAACAAAGTGTCTTCAAGCTCCTTATAGCAGCCGTGGCACCCTTGTATTTAGGTTTTTTCCCGCCCAGCTGCACCGGCATTAAAAGAAGATAAATCCTAATGGATCATAGCAGATACTGATTGCTTGATAGATGTAGCACTGGCAATCAGTGCTTCCTTCAAGTTACAATACATAAGGTTCACTGTCAATAGCCTATTGTTTCAAGATTTTTTATTATGAAACCTTCAGTACACACTCCGCAGTGTTCTCCTTATTCAAACCATACCCAATAATGCGGTGGAATAACAAATGATATATTCCACTGGCAAAGCTCGCCATGAAGCTGATGCATACTAAATAGTGAAACAGCAGCGGACAGTTAGCGATTCAATTGAGAAATTGAGCTGGGCGGCCGCAGATCGATCAATTGACCGAAATCCCGGAACGAAGCTTGGTTGGGACTTGTCCGCAACATTTGCAACGCTGCGTGAGTAGAAGCAAGAAGCAGCCTGCACTAGTTGGCGAGAAGTTTAATTTATTCAATATGCAATTACGGGAACACATTGTGAGACAGCACAGCCATGATGCTCTGGTATTTAAGCTTCTGCCTACGCGGCTGCTTCGGTCTAAAGTGGCATATGAGGAGTGCTGCCAGATCAAAAATGCTGAGAAGTGTAGACGTACAGGTAAGTACAATACAATTATTTTCAAAATAAAGTTTCACAAAAGATAATTTTGATAGGAAAAAAAAATCGTAAAGAAGAAGATATATTGAAACTACACTGTGTAATTGATTATAATTTGGCGAAAAAGGGTGTCGACTTCAGTGACCAAATGTCCTCTTACCATACTTTTGTACGTAAAACACTAAAATGGTATCGGTAAGTCCTTTCATATATAAATATATAACATTTAATGTATAAGTATTTTTATTTTTTTTGCAGCAAAGTTATGTTTGAATTACTACTGGGCACGACTGTGGTGAATTCGTGGATTGTTTATAACATGGTTTCTGGCACAAAGCTGCGCATTATGGAATTTAGAACACAACTAGCTAAAGATCTAGTAATAGAACAAGCGGAAGTCCCAAAGCAGCCAGTTCCAGAGGGAGGCAACACACTTTCGTGAAACCTGAAGGTCCAGGAAGAAAGAAGAGATGACCATGTACTGGATGATACAAAAAATTGCGAATAACTATGACGAGTCGCGAGGCTGACAAAAACGTCTGACGTATAATAAGCTATTGTGAATAATGCCCAAAGAAGCCGGGATATGGCGTTCAATGTTTCAATGAAACACACAATTAAAATATCCTAGTTCATTATTATACTCAAGAAAAAAGTTTCAATATACCAAACACAAGTCAAATACTTTTGTTTATAATTTTTTTTAGAAAAGTGTTTTATTTTCAATTAAAATTTCAATGAAACTTGACTTTCATTGCTGAAAATTTGTACTCATTAGCATGCGGTTCTAGTCCCCGGAGATATGTACGACGTGACTCCAAGATGGATTCATCTAACCTATAAAAGATGTATACATCAAAATGGTAAAATTTTGCAACATATCTTACAAAGAGGCGCTTAAGTATATTTTTACTACGTACATATCGCCGGGGTATAGTAATAGAGACTTTACTGCTGTGCGTTACATATCCCCGGAGATATGTACCGCTGTCAACGTGTTAAACTGCACCAGATCCTTGCTTCCCAAGCAGTGACAACCTGCAGGTCTTTCGTCAGAGAGGAAGTCCCTACTTGTCTTCATTTCTTTTGCTCATCAGCAGGCCTATGGAGTGCTGTCATCGGCAAAGCTTCGGATGGGATTGATCGTACAGGAAACATAGAAACCTGTTGGGGCCAAGATCGTTCCCTAGGTAACACTCATGCTGATATTGTGGAACGAAGAGTAGGAACTGCCAGCTACTAAGGATACCTTACGACCGGAAAAGAAGTTAGTCACCCATCTGCAAGGCTTCTTTTGATGGCTATGGGACGGTAGATTGCATAAGAGTTAGTGAGTGAGTGAGAGTGTTACTCGATCAGTTGATGACCATCTATAAGCTCCTTATCTCAAATGATTACAATTACAGTAGAGATATGTGAAAACAAAATAATACCCACATGTTTACTGGAATTATTCTCGCAGTTTCCATAAAGTTTCATTCATTTCATATGGTAAATCTACCACATCATTGGGAAATAAAGCGTGTTTCTAAATGGCCCGGACTGTGTTACAAGTACATAATCGATTACCAAAACGCAACGGAATGCACCAAACTCCGACTAGTGTGGTACGAAAATAAATAGCTTTATGTTCGTATTCATGCTTAGCGTCATTCGTATTTCCCACGCCGATTTCAATGATTGAAAATCGATTTTACAGTTTTATATTTTCCAGAATCTCCGACTATATGCGAAAAAGCATTGCTAGGGGAATAGTTCGGATATGAATTATTTTTTAATCCTGCAAAATGGAAGAAACTACTTCTATCGGGTAGTGGTGGCAGATATTTGACGAACTGTGATTTCGTAACCGATATCTCTAAATCAGGAATAACGACTGTCACCAAATACCTGAGAGATAGTAACGAGATTTGGAGAACTAGGCGCAATGGCGCTTATGTTTTACTGTGTGTGGGATGCGTATGCGCGCTAGCTGGCAAGGCCGAAAATAGTATACCACTGTAGGATTTCCACATGGCCTGCAAGCGATACCGTGCTTTACCCATCGTTACTGCTATCAAACATATTCAATAGTAATAATATCGGCCATTTCTAGTGTCAGGTATTTGGCAGTCTATCTATCCTACAAACCTAGACTAATCTTGCATAACTTCTAAATTGATGAAGCCTAATAACTGCTAATTTCAGCAAATATGAGTTTTGATAGACCAAGCAGAAGCAGCAAAAAATGTAAACTAAAAATAAAAAACCTTCGTTTTTAGATACCAGGTGCAAAGGCACGAGGGGTACAGACAAAATTTATTCTTTTCGAAACGTTTATCAGCTTCTTTTAAGTATGGCATTCCTGAACCAAATTCAAGCGGAAAAATTCATATAAACATGCGTTCCAAAAAATCTTGCTTCCAAAGTGCAGGGTGTCAAAACTTAAAAAGAAAATAACCTTTTAACAAAGAAAATACCATAGCAAACTATCACGGAAGGGCAAAAATATGTTCACACCCTAGCAAAGTTGATTTGATTTTATTTTAACAATTTTTAGACATTTAATAAGGTTCTTATTCATTCATCAAAGATGAAAGTAAGATACGAGGGGATATCAAGACACAAAACAGTTGTATCATTAGCATATGAGTATATATTTTGAAAAAAGCCATAATTTTTTGTTAATATCATTCATGAGACTGTGCCAAAATTTAACACAATCGGCACAAGGATACTTGAGATATTGATAAAAGGCTATTTTCTGTCGAAACTTTGACAATGTCTTGAAAACCAGACTATTTAGGATACATGTTAATATTTACTTTTCTACTTAAATTTGGAGAGACTGTCAAATGCAGTCATCCAAACAAATATTGATATGATGCTGCCTAGCTACGAGGTCTGTAAATTGAGTCATGAGGCTGGCTACGTAGCGTTCGATCTGGCAATACTAAAGACGCCGGGCTTGGAGAGGATACATCGGAACATGACATCCGCCTTCAGTGCAACTTTGAACTCACTCGAGTCGTTTGGTTGTCCGTAGCGATTTTTTTTTGTGAAACAGTTTTTTCTAATGTGTTCTAAAAATGGGTGATATGAGCTTCAAGCAACGGTGTGCTATCAGGTTTTGCTTCAGACGTGGGCACAGTGCAACAGAAGCTCTTACAAAGCTTCTGCAGGCCTACGGAGAGCGTTTTGTCAAAAGCCCACGTTTTTCGGTGGTTTAAGGCATTTTGAGAAGGGAGAGGGTCGATTGAAGATTAACCACGAGGCCGAAGGCCTTCTTCGTCTTCAAGGACCTATGGAAATATTGACCGAATCCGGTATCTGGTGCATTCAGGTCGTAGGTTGACAGAATGATCGGGAAAGAGTTAAATTTAACTCACACCACCGTTCGTCATATTTTGACCAGTAAATTCAGGACGAGAAAAGTCTTCGCAAAAAAGATTCTAAAAAACCTTTCGCAGGTCCAAAAGGAGATCAGGAAGGAGAAGTGCCTTGACATTTTTGATTCGATTGAAAATTTCTTTCATTTTCTGGAACGTGTCATTACTGGTGATGGAGTGTCTGAGTACGGCCCATAAACCAAGCGCAAGAGGAGCTAGGAGTGGCACACTTCAACCTCTCCAAGGCCCAGAAAAGCAATAAAGACGAAGTCGAAGGTCAAATGCATGCTAATTTGTTTGTTCTATACCCACAAAGAGTTTCTACCTCAAAGATAAACGGCCATTCAACACTTTTTCCCGAAGCTTCTTGAATAAGTGTAATTCGTGTGAGACCAAACATCAAGAACAGGGTGTTGCATCACGATAATGCCAATAAACGAGTTATTGCCTCACTAGAATCCGTGTGTGGCTTCAGAAGGACGTTACTTTGAGGGTGGCAATATAAGATTGCAATTGTATTTGAATAATATAAAAGAATCAGTCTCATTACTTAATTAACAGACCTCGTATGTGTTCATTTTAGATGTTGTTTACCGTCAGAAAGTCGCTGTTGGAAATGCGTTTCTCCCTGATACTGGAAATTCGTGACGTAGTTTCTGTCACACAAGAACTATTCTAGAGTAAATAACCCAACTCGTTAATCGGATTACTTTTTAATACCCATGCCATGGCTTCCAATGCCTAGGTACACTTTCCTTTGCCGGATCGCAGTCTACAACCTTGATCCAATTATAAATTTATCCATTGGAATAACCCGACTCAGTCACGATAGATGTATCGATTTTTCTTGCTCTTGCTTCGTATAACTATTAAATAAGGTCACTGTCACAGCTGACGTAAATGGTTTAAACTCATCGAATCTACAAATTTTGCGTACCTAATTTATTTACCTTATACAAAAAGCTAGGGATACGGGTCATTTGCAGGAATATCGAAGTGGGCGCAGTAGAATCGTCTAGAAGAAAGTCCTTCATCAAGCACTAGGGAAGTACCTAGACAAGTGACGTCTCCAAGATTAAAGTGAGGTTAACGGTACATGATGATGGTTTGTACCCTTTTGTATTAGCCCTTTGTGAGTGGTTGTTGCAGTCCATATTAGTCACGTACGATTCAACCTTGATGCGTAACGCTGTGAATGAATTCTGAAACACCTTGTGATATAGAATTTTTTTTTTAATATTTTGACTGGCATGGTAAATGGTATGCACATTTGGACTTTTATTTTCCCGAATCGGCTGGCGGTCAACTCTGGCTAGACTGTCTATGGAACATATAGATAGATAGATACTTTATTGACCCTTTTGATCATTTGAAAAATGATGTAGGATAACATGTCTGATGCATAAAATTTACTCTTCACTAAGTGTAGGAACACGTACCCTTGATATGTTTGTCGTATAGAAAAATGGAACATATACAATAACTAAAGCATATTAGGGGTGACACGATATCATTAATATACCTATAGTATAAAAAGAAAATAGTTATTTTCGGCTATTGCATTAATAAGAACATTAAAAAAAATTGGATAAAAGATAAAATACACTTTTGAGAGTAGAATATAGAGGTTTTACTTCCATTGACATTACACCTTCTTCAGGCATACCGCAAAAGTCTGCAATTTGTTCCCAGCTGTTTCTGATTTTCATTGAACAGCAGAGTAACATAGCGGCTGTCTACTTTATGCTGACGATTTAAAGATCTACTTTATGCTGATCATTTAAAGATATTTTGTAAAATTTCTACCAACCGCGACTGCCACATACTGCAAAATGATTTAGATGCTCTTAACACATGGTGTTAAAGTAACAATCTGTTTCTTAATGTAGATAAATGTTGTACTATGTTTATCACGCGCATGCTTGCTCCGACGCATTTGGTTTACACCGCTGATAAATTGCCGCTAAAACCGTGTCAGGAATACAATGATTTGGGCATAATATTTTATGCGAAGCTAACGTTTCTCAAGCACATTCATACTATTACCAGAAAAGCATACATGTGGTTGGGCTTC